CGCCACCAGGGGCAGGCAGAAACAACTCCTACGTGAAGATACATACATGTTTTCACTGTGGAACACCTGGACACATTGCCAAAAATTACCCTAATCGTGCATATGTTCCCTACTATGCACAAGGTTGGCATAATGCGTCAAGAGGGGGATCTTTCAAAAGAAACCCTTCGAGGCCACGTTCAAACAATTGTGACTGGAATGCCAAGAAGGTCAAGAAGGGAATGTCGGAAAAAGAATAAAAATTCAAGAGATGGTCCAGTTAAACCAAAATCGGTTAGGTCAAAGTCATCTTGACGATCAGGCTCAAATTCTAAAGCGAGTGATAAGGCATCCATCCAATCAAACAAGAAATGGGTTAAACCCAACTACAGATGGGTACCAATGGTTCATACTCCTAAATCATCTAATGATTCTAACATTTCTTCATCTTCTGTGTGTGATAAACAAGATATGTCATGGGAGAGGGTACCTTGCACAGATGATAAAGGTCAACCCAGTTTCAAAATGGATTGGGTTCCAAAGACCAACTAATCTCGTACTCTATGTTAGGTAGCTATGGAGGAATATCATCAGTCTTCGGTTTGTTAATGGTGGTTGTTCCAAGCACATGATAAGGGACATATCTTATCACTCAGAACCTTCATTGAGAGTATGTGTCCTTTGCGGGAAAGGAAGAAAGAAAATGATCACAAATGGGGATTGTACTTAATGATGTGAAGAATTTTTAGATCTATTCCGAGATTGAAACACAACTAAGGCTGAACATGTTGTTGCATATGCGTGATGATAATGAATTACAGATTGAGTTTTCTTCTTGATACTCCTGTGTAACACCCCGTTCCTGGTACACATTTAAAAAATTATTTTTCTTCTTATTTTAGAAGCTAATCGACGAGTCAGTGGCCCTAACTCGTTGAGTAGTAGCGGGTCAGCACGTGAAGTTGGCGTGGCGACTCGACAAGGCTGGGATTCCCAATAATGGTTTATGGTTGTTCAAAACTGACTTCAAATGCTAACCAGATACAACAACTATAATCTTGTGATTAAGTTGTTTTCTGATAAGTGTAAGATGGGTGATGCCTTAATTGTTAATGAATGAGTTTCAATAATCTTCATTATGATAGGTGATATTTGTTAAAATGGTTAAAGGGTTTTGTGGTTTAGGTAGGATAGAAGATACTCACAGGCTGGTCAAGATTGTAAAACAAAGATGTTTCAAATGTTGTTGTATATTCTGCTTTTGTTGATAGGATTTTCAAAGTTGGTGAGTGCAATGGCGGTTAAAGCTATTAGAAGGGGGAAAAAGTGAATCGTTGGGGTTTATATTTCAATTGTTCTGACATACACATCAATAATCTATAGAAGTTTCTGAAAAAGGATGGATTCAAACACTGTTAATGCGTTGTGCAAGAATGGGCTTCAACGACCTGCACGAATGCTTGTTTTGAGAATGGTGAAACTTGGTTTTAATATAAATTTTCATATTCTCTTTGGCTTTGGAATATCTTTTGACATGTGATCTCAAAGAGGCCTTCTAAGAGTTATATATAATTTGAACCATAGATTATTGTAGTTCAAATGAGATAACTTCTATGACATTGGTTCGTTGCCTATATGAAATGTGTAAGCTACAAATATTTGAGTACTTGAAGAACACCTTATCACATTTATATTAGGTATTTATGTCCCTCTCGATGATCTACCCGATCTGCCCCTCCCATAATTTTTGCCCATTTAAATGCCACAACAAAAAGCTATGATTTTAAGTTATTCCTTTACTTTGATTATTTTATGTAATTATGATTCTTTTATTGGTTATCCATGGAAAGTTTATGGTCAAATTGCAATCTTTTTAAAGTAGATTGAAGTTATACATCAAATAGACCATATACTTTCTTACCACCTGATCGTCTGGAGGGTATAATCGTTAATAGTCGAAAGCGTTAGAATAAGGACAAAGAGGGTATAATCATCAGTAGTTGGAAGCCTTAGAATAAGGACAACAAATGAACAAATGTATCATACATACATCCCATCAATATAACTTTTCCTGTAAAAAATAAAACACAAACAATGTTATCATAAAGCAAAATTTACATAGAAAATAGAGTCATTGACAAAGAAATGCCACTATACCATTATTTTTTTAACTGAATTTGGTCATTTTTGATATGGCATGAAGGTTATGTTAAAAATTAACAATAGAGCATAATCGAGCCAATAATTATACTCCAATGTCAAACCGACATTGATATTGAATATAAAGTTCATGAGATATGTATGTTATTCTCACCATTATTTTGTGTTAATAATTTATAAAACTAATTGCTTAAAGTTTGTGTTCCATTCATATAATATCATTTTTTTATCTTTCTTATGTACCTTCTTTGAAAATACTGAGAAAAATATGAAGCTTTTCTTATCTATATTTTTTTTGTTGTACAATCTTTAAACTTCTCTAACGGCATTAGCTTCACTTATTAGATTTGGTTACCTATATATGTCAAGTGTGCTTGTTATCAATGACCCCAAGGTGTTACAAGGTCAATGGTCTTATTAAATAAAAAAGAATTTATCATTTATGTAAAATTCAAATTTGGCTATCAAAATTTATTATCATTCATCTGGGGTGTTTTTTTTTTTTTGATGGATTGAATCAATTTTATTAGTTTTGTGTGGATCTATTGATTTCCTTTCTTGTTTTCTTAAAGTTAATTGAAGTTTACATTAATGGGCATCATAATTGTTTCTCACTATAATTGACCTCATTTTGGTGATATAACAAACTCATATAACAAGTTTGTTGTTGGTATTTCTTTGTATGTAAAAAACAACAATAATAATTGAGGTTAGAAATAGGTAAATTTTAAACTATATCTCAGATTATTTTTTATAAACTGCTCATCTCCTAACTCATTAAAACTTATGAAGACATTACACTTTAAAAATATCAAAATTAATCTTCGTGGGTTGTGCTCAACATGGCCCTTCGAACATTACTAGTGTGTGTGTGTGTATATATATATATATATATATATATATATATATATATATATATGTGTGTGTGGTTAAGATTAAATATAAATTACAATTATTGTGTGAATGTATGACCATTTCTTGTCCGTTTGATTTAAAAAAAAAAGGAATGGGTGTGATTTGAGGGTACATATGATTAACATAGGATAGCATGTACTATACAATTACACTTATTTAATTATAATTGCATTTTAGTCTATTAACTTATATTTAAAAAGGAAAGATTACTAATTAATTGCATAATTTAATGAGTTTTTTATTAAATACTTAGTATTTTACAAAAGTAAACATGGATAATTAACCATCATTTAAAAAAAACGTAAGTCCATAAAACTATTTTCATACATATAATTGATTTCATTTTTTAAGGTGTCTAACCATGAGTTTCTAACCAGGAGGTCTTGGGTTCAATCCCAAGCAAATACTAACATTGTCGTTAAAAAAAAAAAGAATTTCATTCTTTAAGAATGATTCATGAATATTATATATCATATTCTTGAAGAAAATACAATATTCTTTTACGCATCCAATATAATAACATCAAATGGGAATTCTTGAGGAATATAAAATAACTTGGATACACACAAAATTAATCGTGGTAAAACAAAATATATTCTTAAAAAATGTGTTCAGTTTCACATAAACTTAATTAAATATATAGTGTGTAGTAAAAATAAATATATTCTTAAAGAATGTGTTTGGTTAGACACAAAATCAATTGAACCTACTTGTAAGTAGTGATAATAAATAAATTCTTTAAGAATCATCTAATCCACTACAGTTAACCTCCAACATCGGAACCATAGTCGTGTACGATTAACCTCCCAAATCGAAACCCTAATTCATATTATAATGATTTTTTTTTATTAAATCAACATTCATTCTTTAAAGAATCAACATTAATTGTAAACATAAAAAATAAAAAAATAAAAATAAAAAATAAAAAATAAAAAAATAAAAAAATAAAAAAAACTTGATTCCTCTAATTTTTGAAACAATCAACGTCCAAATCCATGGAGGTTGAAAATTTCTTTTCCCATTCTATAGTTGATTATCTCCTTTTTTTAATTGTTATGGTGAGATTGTTATATAAGAATGAATGCGATGAATATTTGGAAACAATTGTTCAAACGGTAATTTTATTAATTCCATATATATTGCTTAGTAATTAATGAAAAATAAATAAACTAATTATAAGATTCCATAATTACCCTAAACTATTGGATCAAAATTGGTCATACATTCACATAATATATATTGGTTATATATGATCATGACTCTCTCTCTCTCTCTCTCTCTCTATATATATATATATATATATATATATATATATATATATATATATATACACACATAGAGAGAGAGGGGACTGATCATTTGAGAACTCATATATTCCCGAGAACCTGAGAACCAAACGATGATAGTTAGATCAAAATATACGATGGTTAGGATGCTTTGTGGCATTTTTGTAAATACATGGAAAAGAAAAGGCACGGGGGCATTTTTTTGAAAAAGAACCAGGGCATTTTAGGAATGAAAAAAAAAGAATAACATAATTCATACCTAGTAATCGGATTGAATCACGTCAGCGTCTGCCCTCTCTCTCTCTCTCTCTCTCTCTCTCTCTCTCTCTCTCCATCCGACCTCCCTTTGATCTTCATTCCACTTCCCTCAATGAACACTTCAGCCCCCATCACCCCCTCTCCATCGATCGCCTCCCTCCGCCCTCCAACAACCAACCTACCTCTGTCAACAACCATCGCCTTCGACAACTTACCACTATTTCCTTCATCGACCATCATTACGATAACCTAATATCTCCGTTCTCTCTATCTCTCAATCATTGATTTCCTACCTAATTACCACCGCCTAACACCACTATCTAAGATCCATTTCGTCGATCCATTGTATCAGAAACTGATTTTCATTGGAGCTCTCCGACCACTACAAGATGGAAAAGCCCTATGTTTTCCTATGTTCTGTACGTTATATCCAATAAACGTAATGCTACGTCTCATTCGAGAGGCAAAACCCTAACCCAGAACAAGCTTAAGAGAAATGGAATCGTCGGTACGATTGACAACACCCCTCTCATTCGGATTACTAGTCTTTCCGATGTGACAACACCCTTCTCGTCCATTTTTCATTTTACATACATTAGTTTGTGTTATGGTTTTTGACGATGATAATCATGCCTTTATAATTCCTTGTTAACCAGATTCTTGCGAAAGCGAATTTTTTGAATCCTGGTGGAAGTGTTAAAGACAGAGTCGTTGTTAAAATAATTAAAGAGGTTAGGTCGATCGTCTCTATTAAATTTAGGGGTTCTAACATGTCTCTTTCTCTAAATATGGTGTAAGATATCATCATCTTTATCTTTGCTTCGACTCAAAGAATTTACCTAATTTAAAATTGATTGTTCAACATCCTTAATACATGAAGAAAAGCTATTTTAACAATTTCGTTTACAAATGAAGAAGGAAGCGAACCATATAGCATATTCTCATAGTCAACCCACATCAACGAGTTCAATTTACTTCAGCTTTGAAGAAATCGATAGAAATGGAATCTATTCTTCCTAACTTTATCATACTTTTACTTATAGTAACTACATCATAGGGTGTTCCGAGAAACCAAATGATTCGGTTATCATGAAATAATCAGACAGAAAATAACTCAATACTGTTCAATTCAAACTTCATCCAAACAACCGAATAGATTGGAACCCAAGTACAATATTCTCTTCTCGAAAGAGCAAATTCAGGCACAGGACCCGATGCTAATTTTGGGCTTTCTCAATGCTATGGTGATCTTTCTACAAGCGATTGCATCATCTGCTATGATTCAGCACATTATCTTGTCTCTTGTTGCTTTCCTTATACTGGTGCTAGGGTTTATCTCGATGACTATTTTATGCGATTCTAGAATTACAGTTTCATTGATGAGTATTATGGACCTAACGACATTGATATTTGTGGGAATACCATAAGGAACAATGGATTTATTCAAGATTCAGTGAGGCATGTTGTTTTGAAATCTGTGACTGATGCGTTGACTAATGTTGACTACTTTGCAAGAGAATTTACAATTTCGGGGACAGGAAATGAGTCATTTTATGTTATGGCAAACTACAGAGCTCATTATGAAGGAACCGGGCTTGAGATATGGGAGAGACAGGATACAAATTACATGCTTTTGTTGCAGCTGTAGGGACAGGTGTCACTATGGCTGGTGTTTCTTGCTTTCTAAAGGAAAATGATCCAAGGATAAAATGTTATCTTGTGGATCGTCCTGGTTCTGGCTTGTTTAACAAAGTTACAAGAGGAGTGATGTATACAAGATAAAAGGCTGAAGGGAAGAGGTTAAAGAACCCATTTTGATACTGTAACTGAAGGAATAGGGATCAATAGATTGACTGAGAATTTCAATATGGTTTGACTTTATGGAGCTTTCAGGGGTATCGATATTGAGGTTGTGGAAATGTCAAGGTACGATTGAAAGTTTGTCAAAATTATTTTGTTTTTGTGAGTTGTAATACTATTTGTTTGTTCTTTTTTTATCATCAGATTCCTTTTGAAGAATGATGGGTTGTTTGTTGGATGTTCTTCAGCAATGAACTGTGTTGGAGTTGTAAGAGTGGTTAAATTGTTGGGTCCATGTCATACGATTGTAACGATTTTGTGTGATAGTGGGATGAGACATTTAAACAAGTTTTGTAACCCAAAGTACATCTCTCAACATGGCTTGACACCCTCTGTAAAAGGATTACAATTTCTTGATTGATTGTTAAGGTCCTCTCACTCAGCCATTCATGTATATTAAGTAGACAATGAGAATGATCCGGGAATTATTCACAAAGTTGTCAAAGATATTTTTGCCAAGATTGACATGGTATATGACTATATTATTATAATTTCACTAATATATATATTGGAAATTACAATATGATTTTTGTTGATTTTGGTTTTGATACATTTTCAATCGATAAAAATATATGACGTCACATGTGAATTAATTTGGATGTGATTCATATGTTTACATGTGATTCACATGTAAATCACATTTGAATCACATATGAATCACAAGTGAATCACATGTAGATCACATGTAATTTACATGTGAATCACATGCAATTCACATGTAAATAACATATAAATCACATATGAATCACATGTAATTCACATATGAATCACATTCATATGTAAAACACATTCACATGTAAATCACAAGTGAATCACATATGAATTACATGTTATTCACATATAATTCAAATATGAATCACATGTGATTTACATGTGAATGTGATTCATATGTGAATTATGTGAATTACATGTGAATCATATGTAAATCACATGTAATTTACATATGAATCACATTTGATTCACATGTAAATCACAAGTGGATCACATATAAATTACACGTGATTAACATATAAATCATATGTAATTCATGTATGAATCTTAAATGAAACAATAACATGTGAATATCATATTATATAATCACATGTGAATTTTACATGATATATACATATGTATTTTTGTGAATATTCTCACATTAATCAATTTGTTTTAATTTTCTTATAGATTGGAAGATTTTATGGAAAATATTGAAGAGATGAAAAGTGATAAATAGAAGAAAATATGAAAATCTTGACATGAAGATATGAAAACGTTTTGAAAATATGTAGCATTTTTTGTTTTTTATATCTTATTTTGTATTTTTAATATACTTTGACTATTGTGTTCATAGGTTAGTAAATAAAAATGTTTTTTTTTATGATTTACTTATAAATATTATAGTATACGAAATATGAATATATGCACTTAAACGTTGATTTTTTTGTTAAAAAATTATAACTTTTTTTGTTAAATATTCCAAAAAAAAATTTTAATCTACTGATTTTTTAAATTTTATTGTTTTAAAAAAAATTGTATTTTTTTTTTCAGAAACAAAAAGAAGATTTTCCCCTTTTTTTTAAATTTTTTGTTTTCTAAAAAAGTTTAAAAAAACTGCATATTTTTAAAAATTCGAAAACTATTATTCAAAAAAATCCAAAAAATTGTTTTATTATGATAATTTTTAGACATTTTATTAATATTTCCAATAACACAAAAAATCAAACATTATATAAGATTGGTAAGATGAGGATCATGCTCTTAATGAGTTAATTTTGATCTAACTCTCCACCTTTAGTTCTCAGGTTATCGGGAAATTATGAGTTTTCAACGGAGCTCAACCCTATATATATATATATATATATATATATATATATATATATATATATATATATATATATATATATATATATATATATATATATATAACACTTGTGGTATAGTTGGCTTCATAAATAAAGCCGTCGAGGTTTTATGAGCTTCCATAACACATACTCATGGGGATATAACATTTAGTGCTAATGGGGTATCACTATGGTTAGGAAATATAGATGTTTCTTTTCTTTTAAAATAATGTTATGCTGTCTCAACTCAATTATTAATATTGATTTATATAAAAAAAATGATGCTTGACAAAAAATTGAAGACAATAGTTCGAGGAGAGATGAAAATGTAACAAATTGTTAAAATGTCATCATAATGTTATTAGAAAGTTACGTCATCAATACAAATAACTTGTTCTATAATTTTAGATCTGTTCATGCATTGTAAATGTTGAAAATTATACATTTAAACCGATTAGAGTGGGTATTACAAACGCTCGTGGCCTGTGGTTTCAACGAAAAAGATCATACCACTTTCAATAGCAACATTTTTATTAAGGAAATGGTAGTAGGGATGACAACGGGTACGTATATATTGGGTTTCGTGTTTCTCATCCAATCTCCATATATGATCCAATTGCCATCGGGGATTAAAAATCTATATATACATTCTCATCTCCAATGGGGAACGGGATCCCCAATGGGTAATCGGGTATTTTTCCCCATTACAAACTTTTGAATTTTTATGAAAAATAACGTATAGTTTTATATTAACGACAAAACAAAAACTAATTGAGATAGTATAAAGCACTATAATCACACACTCCGTTCAAACGCGAACAATAATATTCAAGTTTACAAACAAAAAAAAATATTCCAAAAATTACAAGTTTGATTGTTAAAAAACATTATTATAACTACTACTTACTTATGCTTATGTATTATGATTTATGTATTGGTTAAAAATAAAAACATAAATAATACTATATATATATATATATATATATATATATATATATATATATATATATATATATATATATATATGGTACATATTGGGGTCGGTTTTGGATATTAGTATGAGTACCCGACAAGTATAACCATCCTCATCTCCATCCTCATTCCCAGTTAAATCGGGGATTTATCCGGTCAACTCGGGTTAGGGTTTCGAGTACCCATCGGGTACGAGTTTTTTTGCCATCTCTAAGGTGTTGTTTATTTTTTCGGAGACAATATGTCTGCAGTCTGCGGAGCACATCTGTAGACCTCTACAGTAAAAGAGGTGGTCCAAACATCTGCAGTCTGAAAAAAGAAGACTGTTTGTTTTTTAATATTTGTGGGGTACTAAAATAAACTGAAATTTAAATAAACTGTTTTTTTTAAACTTCAAAGTGATTTTCTTTTAATATTTTTATGACTTTCTTATAAATAATTAACAAATCTCGATCAACTTTTATGTATTATTGTATAAAAAAATGAAAATAAAAATCGTATGAATTAACGTATATATTTAAATAAAAACCAACAACTTTTGTTGCAAAATTATAACTAAACATTATAATCAGAGATCAAAGAATTTGATACATAAATTGATGGAAATAAACTTCGATTTTTTCAATTAAATCCATTAAAAACGTACAATAAATAATTTTCTTGAAAATTGACGATATTGTATTAAATAATGTTTTACAAAATTTGGAAAAAAAAATATAAGAATATATATTATGATTTTTTTCATATTTATATAAACAACTTCAACGATCATTATTGTAATAAATTCTTATTTATAAATTTGTCAAAAATATAATGTTTGTATCGTCAAATGTTTTTTTTAAGTTTTGTAAATTTTTTTTCAAAATGTTTATTAATAAAGTTGGAAAAAATATAAATTAAAAAAAAAAACTTAAAAAAAGTAAAGATATATGTGTTTTTTTAGGTTAGAAGATGTCTGAAGATGTTAGAAGACTCTGGTCCACATCTGCGCCAAGAAGAGGGCGCGCAGACATTTTTAGGTCTGCAGTCTTTAAAAAAACAAACAATCTGCGAAGGCTAATGTCTGCGCGTGGTCTGCGCTGCACAGACAAAAAATGTCACGCAGATCTGCAGACAAAAAACAAACACCACCTAGGTGTGTGAAAAGGCCTATCGATATAGGAGTGTAGTAACTTAGAAACATTGGGAAAATTCTTGGATCTAGTCTGGATATGTGTGGGAAGTAGTATAAGCCCGTACTACCGGAAGCACATGATCCATAAAGGAATCAAGAAAAGCCACAAAATTACTAAGGAACTGGAAAGGGTCTGGATGTTATTATGGGTTAGACATTCATATTAATTTTTACCCATTTTATATCTCCAAAATGGTAATGATCACTAGAGTAAATGGTTTTGGTTCTGGAACGGGAACGGATGGGTTAGGTCCAAGCGAGACTGATATACACAATTGGATAGACGCAACGGTATCAACAACTGTAAGGGAGATGATTCCAGAAATGTTCAGATCCATCAAGACCAAATTAATATCCCTATTTGATGAACTGTATGATGTGGTTGCTAGTAATGCTACCAACACAGCCACTACTGTTGTTTTTGCTGCCACGCCATCTGGAGACAAGGAAATGCCTTACTAAGAGTTCAACAACACCAAAACCCCAAAGTTTGATGGTGTCAAGGATCCAATCGTTTCCATAAGTTGGATTTTAGATGTGGACTTAGGGTAGAATCATTTATTCGATTGTATCTAATCCTGGATTATGTATGATTCACATATACAAGGCGACTATTGATGTTAGCAGGTATTTCTAATTGTACGGTTAGAGAGAATCCTAGAAGAAAGTCTAGGGAAATTAGTGATTAGGCCCTTCTAACACTAGGTGTGTGAAAAGGCCTATCGATAGAGGAGTGTAGTAACTTAGAAACATTGGGACAATTCTTCGATCTAGTATGGAAAAGTGTAGGAAGTAATATATGTTGGGTTTTGAGCACTATAACAC